TTAATATGTATTAATTATTTTATTTTTTTATTTATATTTTTTAATTATTGTGATCAATTTGTGCCGTCAATCCCGGCGCATGCGCGCTTCATTTGCAGTCTGGACGCTGAGGGTAAACATCCTGCGGCTCTGACTGCAGCGCTGAGAGGGACTCCTGCGGGAGAACGGGGTTGGGATGGGGGAGGCGCCCCACGGCAAAGTAGGAACAATACATGCTTTCACGTAAGAGTCTCCAAAAGCCGCCAGTGACACCGTAAAAATTACATCAGGCGATTATTTAAAAAAAAAAATCGCTGGAGGGGTCTGAAAAGTCGCTAAATACAGCGACAAAGTCGCTGAGTTGGCAACACTGTCCGAGTGGCAGTCAGCTCCTCCTTTCATCTAGGAACAACAGCAGTCTGAGTAAACCCCATCCGCCCAACACCAAACAAGACAATCACTGGAACCTTCCCACACAGACTGAATTCCATAAAGGACACCTTTTCCTGGAGAAGTGAGTCTTCAACCTATTCCTCCAATTCAAACAAAAGATTCAAATTTCCCACTGAGCCTGAACTAACCGCAGTGTCTTCCCCTCACCTTTCAGTTCCGGTTGAGCAGTGTTCTGAGCAGCACTGGTTTCATCACCATACTCTAATAAACCTGTTAAACTTTTCCCTGGTCTCTCTGTTTGGTCTTCTGCATTTTGGGGTCAGACCTTTAAATAAGATCATGACATCAATATACATTTATAATTTAGGAATTTTACATATTTTTTTACTTTATTTGAAAATACTGAGTTAGAACTCAAGAAAAAACTATTAAATTCATCAGTAAAAAATTAGAGCAGTTCTGTGGTGAAAAATAAACATTTAACGGATGAAAACTGGGATCTTATCTCAATACCACTGAAGCTATCACCTTATTGTTTTTGAATAATTAGTCAAACAGAATTTGTAAAGAAAAAGAATGAAATAGATCCAAAGGACCTATCAGTTCCTATGTCTGTTCCAGCGCAGATCATCATTAAAATTTCTTTTAAGTATTATGTCTTCAATACAGGGGCCATAACATGATCTACAGGGGCACTGGCCCCCGTTGGCCCCTGTCTAGAACCAGCCATGGTGAGGAATGATGACACTGTGATGAGGTGCACTGAACTTTATGTCTTGGCTCGGCGCCGCTTCGTAGCCTGGCTTCCTGGTTCTATCTGAGCTAACTCATTATGCTCCAGTGCTGCTATATTCTAATGCATTTCTGAGTCATTATTCATTATTCAATGTAAAACCGAATTAATTCTCACATTGCATTTAAGATCTTTGCATCATTTGTTATTTACATTTATCTGCTGTTTTGCCCTTGAATGCATTAAACATCAACATCCAGTTCTAGTTATTTAATGTATTCATAATCTGCTGGTAAATTTTTCAAAACTTTATCAAAGAACAGACTGTGGGAGGAAGTTAAAGAAGAATCTTTTCTCATGATAATGACTTTGAAAAGCCTGATGTAATTATTTAACAGCGTCTACTCACATAATGCACGGTGGGGCTTCTCCCACCTGGGGGCTGCACGGCTCCTTTTCTTCCAGTTCTGGGCACTCCGCTCCTCCACCGATCGGGAACTGACTGACTTTCTTATTGCGGGTTCGCTCCCCTTTTGCCCCGCTGGGGTCATAGCACTGCTTGGAACAGGCTGACCATTCAGACCACTCAGTCACATCACAGTCTCTGGGAACCACACAGGCCTGAAAGGTCACTGGGAGTGTCTCCTGGGAGCACAGGCTGCAGAACAAGAAAACAGTACATTTTGTTAGAAGATCGATAAATGTAGCTACAATGTATTTTCTAAATAGATTAATGTATATTTTCTACTATAATATTTTCCCCTGTGGGAGTTCCTTCCCATCCTTTTCTCTTCCTTTAAGTTTTAAGAGTCTGTATTAATTAAAAGGTTAAAGAAAATCTTGTGTTTCTATAAAAGTTGACTCTCTTTACCGCTGTACATCTGATATGTGTCTCATAAAGAGCACAATAACTGTGTTTGCAGACATTTAAGCTCTCTGTGAGCTTAAATGAAAGTGGTTCTGCTGAAAATCCTGAAAATCTGATACTTTTTCAATTTGTTTTGCAAATTTTATCACAATTTAACTGCAGAGGATCTTAGTTTGGGTCACATTACATTTAACCAGTAATAAGCCTCAGATTCCAGCCATTTAGGTGGAGGTAAACAGTCAAGGCCTGATCTTTAGGAGGTCCGTGTTTCTGAAAACAGGTGCATGTTTGCATGAAGAATTCGCCTTCGTTGATATGCAGATCATATTTTAATGACCAAGCTGCACAAATTCACTGCAGGACAATATGCAAATGTAAACATTTACCATTTGCAAAGTGAAAAAAATGTTCTGAATCAATAACAGTTTTTTTTTCTCATATTCTTAAATACTTCTTAAAGTCAGTTGTAAACTCACATGTAAAACTATCTTCTGTTATTTTTGCCACAAAGATTCTTTCAACATGTAAACATATTTGGACCGTCAGAGATAAGAATAGCAGAATAAATAAATAAATACAGAAAAAAATGAATGACAGAATCTTTAAACAATTAAATAAAAAATGACTGAACTTAAATATTGTGTCATGTTTCTGAAAATACTTTCTGCAAGATGAACCCCTTAAAGCGCAAATCTTTTAGGCTTGGAAACATTTTATTTCTCCCTTGATTTATTAAAACAATTACAATTATTACATATAGTATAATATATGTTATATGTATTAGTATTATAATTATTTTTGAGGTTACTTTTTTCATTATGGCTTAGAAACTCATCTTCCTTTTATGACCACTCTCAAGCTGACAATGCTAGTCACAATCAGCTTATTTCAATGGGTGGAACCAAAGTGGTTTGCACATTTAATCATTTGTGCAGAAAAATGTGCTGCAAGTCCTAAAAAAGAAACTGCATGTGTAATTTAGTGCCCTCTGTTTGGAATCTTTGAAGATTAGGCGTCTAAAGCGGGTTCTTGTCAAACAGAAGGGAAAAAAGAGTTGGAGCTATGCAAGTGGAAGAAAACGCTCTTTTACAAAAAAGTAACAGTAAAGTCATGAAAAAGATGAATCCCTGCAGTGAAACATTTTTACTCTGCCTTTGACTTTTTCGACATTTTGCCGAATTTTAGGCTTTGAACATAAAGATATAAAATTGTAAACCTTTGTTAAGAATCAACAAGTTGGAAACAATCATGAAGTGGAACTTTTAAACATGAAGTGGATATTTTAAACTATTTTAACAAATTCAAAACTGTGGGGCGTGTAAAATGAATCGTCTCCTTTAGTTTCAGTGCATCAAACTCTCTGAATGATCAATGTTGACCTAAATGACTGATGATGATCAGTAGAATCCACCTGTGTGGAAACAAGTCTCTGTATAAATGCTGCTGCTCTGTGATCGTCTCAGAGGTTTGTTTAAAGGAATAGTACATCCAAAACATGATTAGCCTTCATTTTCTACTCACCCCCATGCTGAACAACACTCTGGAGTACTTTTTTG